GTTTTTAACGCTATGTGGCTGTGTTCCGTAAATGATCGCGTCTTGACCCGACAATCCAGTGATCAGGAGCCCTAGGTTCGCGGTTGGGATACGATGAGGCGTGTCAACCAAATCAGCGAGCCTGACCACCCGATCCCGTTAGTCGCCTTTACGTCAAGCATGGGTTGCTGAAGACCAATACATGCAATATGTGTCCCCCACCTGGTTTGGTTGTCAAACGTCGTTTCTATTATGGATTTGTCTCTCCATAGGAGGATCTAAGTAAAGGGAGATACACAAAACAATAGATAAGATTGGCAATTGGTTTACGGCTAACGGGATCTGTAAACCAATATACAACAATGGAACACGGTATTACAGTAGTTCCATTCTCACATTCATAATGTGGGCTAAAACTTGGTTTCTGTTTATTATATATTTTCCTCACTGTAGGGAGACTTTGATACTCATTAGAATTGGTGATGTCATTAGGGAAAAAGCAATGATGTTATGAGCGCTATAGATACGTTTGAGTGTTATGTTTCTTTGTTGAACAGCACAATTCCAACCACAATTTAAGTTAAAAGTCAAAAGGTGTGATTAAATGGTTTATAAAACAATTTGATAAGAGGCTTTATTAGTTTCAAATGCCTTAAGGGAAGAATGAAATACTAGAGACCTTTCTTATAGTTGATCTGTATTTGTTTTAAACGTTTTGAATCCAGATTCGTACAGCGGTATTAATAATCATCAATGACTGCTATATCTTCATTTACCTTGTATACAACACTAATTGATGATTTACTATTCACCTTGTCGTAAACCATATACTTTCTGTTCTACAATGTGGTTTTTTTCTGAGCTACTAGCTGCAGAGAGCTATCATTAGCTGTTATGTAGAACGCCAGTACCAACACGTCTTAACTAAGCAAGTTCCGTCATACTGGTAGCCCCAGTTAAAACAGTTATCAGAAGTATTAAAACAAACATTTGCAAAGATGAATATAAACTGTGAAAGAACACGGCCCTGTGGATCGCCAGTTTTACTGTGGGTGTGTCCCAGTTACACTAGTAACAATTTGGGATTACACTATGTCTTTCTCAGAGACGTGCAGACGCAAGTACTTTTGGGGTTTGATTCCGGTCCGGGATTCGAACTCACACTCTCAGAGTCAGGCATTTAATCGACAGCACACCACGTAAGCGATCTAACCCACTCAGCTAGCACGCTTAAGCAAAGACAAAGTCTAACTGGTTGTCAAGATAACTTACTTTGTGTACCCCTACGGCAAGTGTTGCAAATTAACACGTGACAAAGTACTTGACCTATAACACCAGTAATTTCGGCGTGTAATTGAAGGGTTAAACAACATCAAATGCATTTTTAACTCAACGGTCATGCAAGGTGTCCATTACATGCTGCTTGTTTCTCGTCAAATACTTCCTCAACTTTGTTCAGGAAGGCAATGTGAAAACATCATCAACCAGTGTGCACTGGCACCATGCTTGAACGGCGGGACATGTGACGGAAACGAAACAGCCTTCAACTGCACATGCTCTGTAGAGTGGACTGGAGGGACCTGCGCAGAGAAGGTGAATTTCTGTGACAGCGTCCCCTGTAACAGAGGAAACTGTACACCGGACTTCCTGACGGCAACTCGGTTCAAGTGTAACTGTGAATTTGCGTGGGTAGGAGAAAGATGCAGTCATGCTGTTGGTAAGTGGAATGTTATCTCAGTTTTCAACTTTGAGCTGTAATTATGAATTGTTTTCTTTTATTTTAGCGTCATTTCCGGCATCATGAACTATCGCACAATAAACACAGTTTCAATATACGATAACTCTGCCTATGACTCCTGTCTAAATGGAATATTTCTTTCATGCTCTTTGGTTGTCTGCTAGCTATTTACGTATTCTATGCATATTTATAAGAACCGCAAGTTCTGTGCATTCAGATATATTCAACATCACGCTCCTGGGTGAGATTGGTCATACAAATAGAGGTGACCTGGCTGATGGCTTGGACAGACTCATGACCGAACTCGGCGGAATTCCAGGAAAGGTGGATGTCAAGTTTACAACAAACGCACAGAAAGAAAGCAAGTAAGTGATGAACAGGGTGTTGCTGTGCCGGCACACAATGATTTCAGTATATTGAGCGTCCTACCCTGCAATGAATCGTACGATCTCTATCAAGTTGGTGTTTTGAAATACTTTGCATCCAACAGTGAAACAAACAGCGGTCTACAATGACTTCAATCCTCCTGCAAATAATGTCAAGGTTGTAACTAAGTTTGTGTTTGAATATATGTTTCAGTTATACTACAACGCACATACAACTCTATTTTGCTGTGGAGAACGGCTCCTTTCTGGAGAGTGATTCATTAGATAGAATCTTCGAATCCAACCGTTACGAAGTCATCAGTGAATATCTGCCTCTTCCATTGTACCCACGTCAACAAGAAGAGAAGGCGAAGATTACGGTGTTCCAAACGATGGCAACAGAGGTTCGTTTCGATATCGTGTTAATGTCAACGAAACAACCTATGCATTATTTGAATTTAGTTCTTGACATGAAATGTGTTTGTCCTTTGTAAGAATGTTTGTATACTGAACCACCCAAAAAAAATGTCTCACCGATAGGTGTTTCTTAAGGCACACACTTTAATTCACTCTTATTAACAATCAAAACGAGGACTGAGTTCATACTTGACAGTTATGGTTAACACATTTTCGGGAAACACATTTAGAGTTCACACAAAACAAAATCACCAGAAATGGTACCATTAAGATACCCCAAAGTCAGTATCGTGTGTGGCCTCTATGGGCATCGATGAAATCGTTGCATCGTCTGTAAATGGAATGAATTAGCCGGTCGATGAAGATCATACGCATTTGAGTCCATACTCTGCGAAATGCCTGATTGAGTCTAGCCGTAGTTGTCGGCCTTGGTTGGAGGCCATTCAGTCTTCTTTGAATCTCGTCCCAAAGATGTTCTACTGGAGTTAAATTCGGACTGAGTGCAAGATGTGTAGGGTTTGGATGACATGCTATCTTAGGAAGTCCAATGTTGCTCTGGCAGTGTGGTCACGACCGTTGACTTGCTGGAAGATGTGATTTCTGTAACGTCCCAAAATGTGGTACAACGTGGGGTCTTATGACTTAATCAATATAGCGAGCAGCTGTCACGTCATTTCCTCATCCTGGACCAAGATTCTGAAACACCACGGTATTAACTAACTGGTTCAGACCGATTGCACCCCACACTATGCTGCTTGGACCACCCCAAGAGTCTCTTTCAACAATACACTCATTGGAAAACATTTCACCACGCCCTCGCCATACTCTCACGCTGCGTTTGAGACTCGCTTTCATTGGTAGGGTTGTCACGACATGCACGTGCATTTTCATTTTCACGAATGTCATACGGAACCTTTTACCATGTCTGCCTTCTTCGGTGCGTTTGGTCGATATGCTTTTTCATCAGAAAACACACTGATGTTGGTAATAACTGTCAATTTGGATTGAAAAACATGTTAAGAAAACGGTACAATCATAATTAAAACACCACCTTGCAAGAACAGAATTTTGCATTTGGTTTTACAAAGCGACGTTTCTTTTGTGGTTCAGTATATATTTGTTGTGTGACGCTAAGCAATACATACTTTATGACGGCAGTCTGTAATACATTGACATGTAGTCAGTGAAGTCAATAGACCACTCAATCCAGATCGACGTCTCTTTTGTCGAGGGCGGTGGGGTAGCCGAGTGGTTAAAAGCATTCGCTCGTCATGCCGAAGACCTAGATTTACCACATGGGTAAAATGTGTGAAGCCCATTTCTGATATTGTTGGAATATTGCTAAAAGCCGCGTACAACTAAACTAACTCACTCACTCTTTTGTCAACATGCTTAGGTTGCTGGAAAATACGTAACTGGAATCCTCACATGTCTCTACAAAGCAATACAACAGAACAATACCTGGTCCTGATTGAAAGATTTAAATATAACTGCAACTCATTAAAGTATCATTTGAAAGCAAAAGCAATAATGCTGTCACCTTCACAGTTCCAATTTAGATATGTAAGTTTATTGTGAAAACCCCATTTGACTATATTTGTTCAATTGACTACTGATGAAACCTGCTGTTTCAGAGATCGCGTAACAGTTGGGACAAGGGCCATTACGTGAAGACCATTGGAACTCCTTTAGGATTTGCCCTTATGACTGTACTACTTTGGGTGGCTTTATGGATCTGGAGAAGAAGATCGTAAGTTGCACATGACATTCCCTTTGATTAACATGCAAAGACGACAGACATTCTGAGTAACGTAATTATTTTAATCAGACACACACATTCACGCACGCACGCACACGCACACTCACACGCACACACGATAGAATCATGGGTTTACTATTCTGTATAACCATGTTCTAAACATATGTAAGACCATTTCAAATAGTACTTTGATATCTGAATGTCATATCGAGAGTAGTTTAGGAGATTATATACAACAAAAGCAACAATTTATTGTGTTATTTTTTCCGATTTCCAGACACAACTCTGACCAATTCTTGGAAGACGATCAAATCAGTCTTTTTGTACTGGATGTCGCATGCAACAGGAGCCTAAACAGACGAGGTAACGTCACAGGCACACTTCAGGATGCAAGTGCATCTCCAGATGGCTACACAAGTCTTCACTTCCATGACCATGAAAGATCACTCGACACAGACTGTGATGACACATTACACATCCACATAGCAACTGAAGATATGATATTCGATCCAGTGCTTCTAGATGGCAACAACCTTCACGATGACGAGGCAAAACTAGATACCCGCCTACACGTTGTCTCATACATCCAACCAGTCCCTGAAGATATTACCCTTGACCCGGCGAGTCTAGAGGATGAGGAAGATGAAGCAGAGTACACTGTCATCGATGACAACGATGTTGAGAACCCCTTACAGGAACACCCTTATGAAACGATAGAATCTTTCGATGACAACGATGTTGAGAACATCTCACAGACAAACCCTTATGAAAAGATAAATTTTTAGCTCCCTTGGAAGATGTATTTGTCAGCCTATAATTATGGCAAACTGTCATCGTAGGCTGTCCGAGTGCATCAGAATCGGTTAATAGCTCAGCGGTTACAGTGTTGTCTTGCACGTGGACTGACTAGGTTTCTAGTTCAACAGATTGGGAACACCCCAGGGAGGATCTATTTAGAATGATCTAATAATTGTGGGTAAGCAAAGTGTAAATTCTAAGGCCATATGCCGGGTTACCTGGAGCAAGGATTAGCCTTCAGTAAATCCTTTCCGATTCCCTGCTGGTACAATGTGTAATGCCATTATGAACAGATGATTTTTAGTTACCTTGGGCATCGCATTGGACGTCTTGATTTGCACGACGTAGGCTGACGGGGTTCTAATTCCAAGTGGGGCCCATGTTGTGAACACTATATGTATGATCTACTTACAGTGATCTAATGAATCACTATATGTTAGGTTACCTGGGACGATTCCCCATGGGTACAATGTACGATGCCCATTCATCGTGATCCCCGCCGTGAGTGAATGGAATATTGTTTAAGCTCTCTCTGACGCTACGTAGTCATTAGCCATAATATGTCCAGACTATTTTCATTTATTTACTGATACAGACGGAGACATGTTTGTAAATATGCCTAATTAATCTGAGTATATTCTGTATTAGCCTCATGCAGGTTTGACTAACATTACAGACTAACTGCAAGTTCAGGTTCGCAAATAAAATTGCTCTAAAAGCTTGTTTTCTTCACTGTCTCACTTCACTCGTTGGCCTTTCTAGAATGACAAGCATGAAAGATAAAACGCCCATGCAAGATAATAAACTGATATTCCCCAAAACAGATTGCATTTGGCATAAATTGAAATTACTCTTTAAGCTTTTATTATTCACTGTTATTCGCCATACTTGTTTCACTCAACTTATCGACCTTTCGAGACAGGGTTGACATACAATATTAAATGAGTTCCATGCAATGGATCACTGAACATTTTTGATGACACCAGGTGTTCTTGAAAAGGACACGCATGTCCTGCCCATAAAAATATTCCTTCCTTGCCTGACATTGCACAGCGGTACTCCTGAATTTCGGTGGTGGTCTTCCGGAACAGATTCTATCTGGCATTAAGAGCTAAATGGCTGTGCGAGTACGTTTGTCCCAAAACATTCAAAGTAAAATAAACTTACTGATTTTTTAAAACGCAGTATTTTGCGTTTTTAAGTTATGGCTACATTTAACTACAATCACCAACGTTTTTATATTGTATTGTCTTGCATTATAGTGTAAGGTTTCAGTTACCTGCTAGTGTTATATCTCTATCTGTGATACACTAGTAGTTTTACTGTTCATCGTAAACAGTTTTAGAGCTTCTGATATGATTGATCTTTACTGATAATTAATTGTTCTCGTCACGATATGGCTGAAATTTTGCCGATGTGACGATAAATATTATCTCACCCACTGTTACTGGCTCATATAAACAGCTTTCTTTAATGTCACACGCTCGTTGTATTTCCGCAACTCAACATAAAAGATACATACAAAAGAAACAAGTGAAACTCGATGTATGTCACTGAAGTTAAAGGCAATTTCGACACATGGATCAACCAATCCGCCACATAAAGTATTTCCGCAACACAACACGAAAGTAAGTGAAAAAGAAACATGTGAAACGCGTGAAGTTAAAAGGCATTTTCCACCTATGGATCAGCCAATCCGCCATATAAAGTGTTTGCCGTCCGATCTGTATCCAGCACTATCAGCCCACGTGTAAGGGATACCACCACCGAAGATGAAGACAAGGGTTTTACTTCTCTGGCTGCTGATTATCAGGGTAGGCATATAAACATCTCTCAAAGTGGTCCATTTAGCTTATATTAGTTAGAGGACATAAGTACACTCCACATATATCATCCTGTGATTATATTCTCCACGTTATAAATTGATTGACGTGCATTGTCTACGTGAGTATATATATATATGCAGATCTTACGTGTGAAGTCGTTGATGTTATCTTCATCTGTTTTTAAACGATGATTGTCACGGGCTACTTTTTGCCCCTGCATCGGAGAAGAAGGTATACCAGAGAAACGCGCCACACATTCAATATGTACATATTATATAACAAGGGTTTGTGTCCGGTGTATATGATAGCATTGGAGTTTTGAAAGCCTCAGGCCATGTTTCTAGGTACCTTATAATTACGAGCTGACAACCATTATATTTCTTTCTTGATGAGATGAGCATTTACTTCCTCAAATTTACACCCGAGAGCATTGTAACAAGAGTGTTAAGTGGATACCTGGCTTTGAGCTATCCGCCCGTGTCACACACTATTTCAAAAGGAAAAAGCGAAATACAGTTTCTACTAGTCTTGAAGGCACAATGTCACACATTTTCCGCATTCTGTATTTTGGACTATATTATATATATTGGGGCATATGCACTCACCTTATTTTCTTATTGAGGCAATTAAAGACTTAAAACGACTTGCCTGAATCGATAATGGAAACTTCGAGGGGAACAGCTTCCAAACAGAGAACACTTGCCATATATGGAATTAAACAAGTACTCCGTACACCGAAAACTGTGGCACGCGGCCGGTAGAGGGCGCGAGAGTCGATTTAATGCAACGTTGTATTGATTCATTCGAACTTTTAACGATGTGACTGAAATGTTGCCGATGTGACTTAAAATCTTAACTCACTCACTCACTCGAACTTTTAAATTTAATATTGTTATCTAAATACGTATTTTGGGGGGAATGAATTATATGTTAGCTTCCGTGGAGACTCATAGTTAGTATTATAGAGGGAAATGCATTATTTATTTTTAGAGAAGTGTGGTGTGATTTAGTGCCTTTAAACGAAACGAATTTCTAATGCAATCGAATAATGAGGACAAGGTGATTATACAAATCACAAGCCTATTAGAGTGAGGTCATATCTCTCATCCTGTCTTTTACTGATTAGTCTGATGCAAATTCAATATAATGTGAAAACAATATGTAACAGGCTGGACTTTCTCATTGATAACACCTTTGTAAAATTTGGGGGTAAAATATTTTGACAAGATGTAGTCATACCCATGGGCACTAACTGTGCTCTCCGTGTGGATCTGTTCCTTATTTTTTATTTCTGCCTTGCAAAATCAAAACAAGTTAATTTGGCCAAGAAATTTAACTCTGAGCTTCAGGGTCCCGTTTCATTAAAGCTCTAGAGTAAGCCTAAGATCAGTAACTTTTCTCGTAGCATCCTATGTTACAGTATAGGAGATACCACTGCTACGAGAAAGGTTACGAGATCTTAGGCTAACGAGAGCTTTGTGAAGCGGGCCCCAGGTACCCACCTGAACTTGATTTTTTTGTATTTTATTTTTTTCATGAAACCAAAGTCTTCCGTCATGAACGGTAGTCTTTACATGACGACATATACAAATACATGAACATAATCAGATATCCAACATACCAGGATATAACATAGTTAAATCATTGAAATATCAGCCTGTATAGGGTGCTGCATCTGGTGCCATACCCAACACATCATGTTTTATATAGCGCAACACGCAGCATACAGTGCTGCATATAGCGTCATATCAGACATAGCATATTGAATACAGGGTCACATCCAACATATGCTGTATATTGCTCAACATCCAACATAAGTTGTACAAAGTGTCATATCCGAAATATCGTATTTAATATAACATATCAAACGACATATCATAATGTATATAAGGCCACATCTGATCTTGAAATTTAGTAAACAAGTGAGAACGCCTTTTTCATATATAAATCTATGCATAAAGATTCCGAGTGACAAAAAACTATCCACAAGGAAGTATGACAGAAGGGATGATTTCAACTTCCCAAAAGTCAGCTTTCCTTTCATGCCAAGCAATGTTCCAACGGCTCCAGCCTTTGGTGTTTACATTTGAGGTACAATTGAGCATGGCCTTTCAACAAGATTTCAAAGAGCGTCATACAACTCTTGCTCAGAAGTTTGATCAAAGCAACAACATTCAAGACCCAAGGAGGGCTTTTAAAAAGGTTTTGGAAGACATGTGGAGGACATGTGATGCATCAGTGCAATATACCAACAGCTGCAGCCTTCGGTGTTTACATTTCACAACTTTTGACTTACAAAAGTGACAATAATGATGTCAGGTGCAATTCCCTGTTTTGACTTATACCATACGTTCCCGAATTATTTCAGGTGAACAATTGACTTTGCATATGTTTATGACGGGCGTCACCGATGGGGCAAGATACGCTCACCTTTTCGCGAATACCTGGTATCGTCACTATTTCATAGTGATTCATAAACACGTGCTCTGTCATTTCGCATGGTGACAATCACTGGATGTTCTGGTGTAGACTCGCTTTGTTTACAAACAACATTTTACAGCTGTAATCCTGCTGACAAAACATATGCTCATGATTTTGTCACATAGCAGAAATTTCTTATGGGTGTGGAAAGGGTTTTGTCGCTTCTATTTACATGTCATTGGGACAAAGCCGGGCCGAGTGAAGTTGCTGAGTGAAGTTGCTGAAAGCGTGAAATAGAAGTCACAATATCACTTTTTGAATGG